GAGTACACTAAAATTTGGAATATATGCTTAGCTTATACATTCCTTTATTTAAAAAAAAACATATTCTCTATCATGCCTTAGCTTTCTCATTTGAAGTATGAATTTTGAACTGATTTTATGTGGAAAACATTACATCCTTTTGCTCAGGCATAACCTGGACTGGTTTCTCTATGATGTCCTTTATGACAAAGATTGATGAGACGTGTATGCACATTTCTAAAGAGAGTGATCACAGTTTTGTTTATAGATAATATTTGATGTATTACCAGATAAGGATGATGAGCATTTTGTTGCCCTCATTGTTACAGCAGCATAATTTAAATTGTCTTGAGATAATATGTTGGGTATTCTCTTGCTTTATCTCCACTTTATTTTGTTTTAAATGGACTTCCAAAATCAAAATACTCCGAGCACTTCTGACCCTGCTGTAAATCACATAGTGAATTGTAATGCACTACCCTCCCAGCACAGATTCATACTGGCAGTGCTTTTGAGCTTATGTACTTTTAACATTCTTTGAATTCTTATAGATTAATGTATTGACTTATATTTGTTAATTTGTATGTAATTTACCCTTTTAGGCATTCTCTTCAATCCTACTAATAAAGCTTCCCTTAGATATCCGCACCTGTATTACATCATGCCTGTCTTGGCAGAGTCTTAATTCCAAGAAATATAAAGTATATTTGAATGATCTTGCCTTTTCCTTTCTCAATGCCTTCTTCTTGCCTTATTTTTGTCCTTGTGACTTTAAAAGTTTTGTTTAAAATAATGATCAATAAATTTAATTGATAATTTCAAATTGATGCATTTGAAATTATTTTTTCCTAATACCTGTAATATATAATTTATGCATATGCATAAATCTTTCATTATAATACCCAAGTTCATCCCTGTCTTTAAGGTTATTTGTTTCAGTCAACCTGAATGTGTAGTTTTTACTTGGATTATGTTGAGAACAAACAAATCTTTTTCTAAATTATGTCAATTTGATATATTGAAAATATTTAGTTTCAAGGAGCACATATTGAAGCTAAATGTGGACTGCAGAGACATTACATTCTCATATCCTGCAGATCATATTTAATGTTCTATATATGCACAGAACTCTTTGTACATTCACTATATGTATAAAATATGCCAAGAAAATCATGTTTAGGGCTTATACAAGACCTGTCCAGGAAAAAGTCCAGCCAGTTAATAATTGTTAATATAACAGTGAGAACTGTTTGTGCGACTACGATATAACCTGTCAGCTAAGGAGAGTGGACTGGAATGCACATGCATGAACAATGGTGACTTCACTGTACTAGTCAGTGGGGGTGATAGATGCAAGTGATCCTGTGTACTGTCTGGCTGTCTCATCAAAATGACTGAGAGAGTAGAGCACTGAATCTGCATGAAATTTTACCTTAAGCTTGAACATTCCTCTGTGGTAACTATTCAAATGACTCAGAAGGCTTTCAAAGACAATGTAAGGAGTGATTGGCAGCTTCATCACAGCAATGCCTCTGGGCATGCATCATGTCCCATGCAGAGATTTTTGGTGAAACATCAACCCACCCAGGTGACTCCACCCCCTTACAGCTGAGATTTGACACTCCATGACTTCTGGCTTTTCCCCAAAGTAAAATCACCTTTGAAAAGGAAGAGATTTCAGACCGTTAATGAGATTCAGGAAATCACGATGAGGTAACTGATGGCCATTCCAACAGAGGATTTTCCAGAGTGTTTTGAACAGTGGAGAGATGATGCGAGAACTGTGTGAGGTCCCAAGGTACCTACTTTGAAGGAGACTGAGGCATCATCGTCCTAATTACAATGTTTCTTGGATCTTGTATCTTCAATAAATGTCTATTTTTCATAGTACATGGATGGATACTTTCTGGACAGGCCTGGTATTACTAGAATAGTATTACCTGAAATAGAAGTTAAATGGCTAATAAAGAAGTGAGATGGGACCCTGCGAACAGCTGTGGCTTGCTCTTAGAGCAGACATCTTCCTTAGGGTACAGACAGGGAGCCATTTGACCGTATGCATGAAGACAAGAACTTACCTTCTATTTTCCTTGAGTGAATATATGGTTACTTCCAAATCTAAGTTGTTTTAGGACTAGAGGGTGTGTACCTGGTTCAGTGCATTATTAATGGAAAAAGAAAAAAAATCCTATCCTTTCTACATTGTCTAAGAAAAATACAGAAAATATGACATGAGGAAAAAGACCAGAACCAAATGAGAATTAGCTTCTGTTCTTGACTGGAGACATTGTTTCCTTTTCTAAGTTTCATGGAACTTACTAAAGAGTGTTTAAAACCATCTCATGTGGTTTGTCTCGCCCCCTCCCCAGGCTGGCATGGCATTATGTCATAGCATAATGATGACATGAACAAGGCATTATAAAGGGGCACACATAGGCTGATCTCTCATTTCTAGAGGACATGAACAGAAAGCTTTGAGCAGGATTGGAAATGCACATTGTCACTTGCCTGTCCCCCCCCCCCCAAGAAGCTGGGACACATTCTGCTCAGCCAACACGTTCCCAGAGGAGTGTGATTTAACTTCCACTTTTCACACAGTCAGAAGCAACACTGTAGACCCGTCTGGACGGTGATGGCAGCCTGGGAGGAATTTGGCTGTGTTTTTTTTTTACTCCAGTGTCTTCATGTGACCTAACTCTCATTCTCAATTTAGTTACATCTTGACCTGGAAAATGCAGGCACGGTTTGCCTCTCCTCATTTGCCTTACCTTGATCATGGTGTGCACCCACCTTCTCCTCTCACCCCACACCAGAGGCAGCCTCTCCTCCTTTCCCTTGAAACCTAATAAGAAAGCCTTTCTCTAGCTGTCTATGCATGTATTTACTGTTTCCTTCAGAAGGGGCTTTAGTTCCAGGGAGAGAGAATGCAACTGGGTCCTTGAAATAAAAAGAAGGAATGTCCACCCGCAGAAGCCTAAGCCTTTCCCCACTTCTTTCACCAGATCTGACTGTCCACATATCTAGCAGCTTGCTTAAAAACCCCGTTGCAGTAAAGACATTAATATTCCTCACTTTTCCCTAGCTTCCCCTCCCCCCATTCAACGACTGATTTTTATGCCTGAGCTTATAGACAAGCCTTGGGTGACCTGTTTTTAAATTTTTTTTCCCTCCCTCCTCCCTCTTTTTCCCTTGCGGTAAAATAGTGCTGAAGAAAGAGGGCACTAGAGTACAGCCCAGATAGCAGCCTTGCACGGTCTGGATTAGAGCTGAGGCGTCTGCTTATCGAGTGTGGCCGAGGTCCTCTGGCCTGGGGACCACAGCGCTGTCTACCCAGACTCAGGTACGTCTCAAGTCCAAATTCTGCAAGCAGGCTCAGGTGAGCAGAAAGCTCTTGGCGGTGAAACCCACCCCCAGTGGCAGACAGTCTCAATCTATGGGATTTTCCTCCTGGTCCCAGGGGCATCCTCGCTTATTTATTTATTTTAGTCCCGCATCCCGGGAAGCGTCGGAACCCATGGATGCCTGGGTTGTTTTGCTCCTTTTGCCTTCCTCATCCCACACGCGCCTTTAGCTCTTTTCTCCACCGACTCTCACCTTGAGAAAGGGAGCCGAGGAGGGACGAGAGAGGGAGCCAACTTCAGCCCCTCGGGCGGCTGGAATTTGGCGCCTCTGATGCCTGAAGCGGTGGGGTTTGAATATACTTGCAAGAGCACTGACTGCAAGGGGAAGAGAATGAGGACGGAAGGATGGTGAGGAGGCGAGGGGAGGGGTGTGTGTGTGCGTGTGCGTGTGTAAGAATGCAGAGGTGGTGGTTGAAAGAGCGAGTCGGGGGAGGAGGGTGTGGGTTGTCAATGGATGGCAACTCGCAGGTCAAAGCGTCCGCTCCAGGCCCTGCAGGGGCAAGTCTGGGTCGCTGGACCGAGCACTGTCCAGGGTGCTGAAGGCGCAGGGCTCCGTGGCCCGGAAGCTCCGTTTCCTTTCTAACAACTGTGCACAAAGATCCCAATTTAGGCAAGTGCAGGAGCCCCTTCCACCTTTCCCTCCATCCCTCACCCCACCGCGGGAAACAAGTTACCTTAGGTGCACCCTTCTCCCTCACCCTCTACTGTAAACCTGACTTGTCGGGAGGCGGTTAGGAGGGGGGCGTACCGAACTCCGACGTGCAGCGACTACCAGGCATTGCCTTAGTAACTAAGATGGAGTTCCTCAAGCTGGCACATTTATATTTACTACTTGGGTTGTCCGTTAGGGTCTCTGCAACCCCTCAGACTAAAGTAAAAAGGTGCATTCTTTGTTCGCGTTCATTTTGAAGTAGCGCTTCATTAGGAGTTTCCAAATTTCTTCTGGGAAAAAGTTGATCTTTTCAAACCCCGAAAGTTCTCTTAGGGTGAGAGATCTAGCTCCCTCTCCCCTGTCTCCCTCCCCCATCTCAAATCAGTCAGCGTGCTGTGCCCTGGGGACTGGGAAGGGACTTGTGGCGGGAGGAGGGGGCGGGTCGTCGGGCTCCGCGCCTCCCGGGACCGACGAGGGCTCCGGCCACGGGACCCAGCACCTTCCACCTGGACCAGAGCCGCCTCCCAAGCTCTCCAGCCGATATCGTGATGTGCTGAAATGAGCTGGACCGGGCAGCTATTAACATCACTGACCCCTGAGTTTTGACACAGGTGATAACGGAGCTTTGATTTTTGTCCTCTCTTGTCCGCAGCTTCCTGCTCACCGCCGTGACCAGGACGTCCACTGTACCCTTGAACAGTTTGCCTCGGTGCGCAGGTGAAGGAGGACTTGCATCCCCCTAGAAACGCCTCCTGGGAGCGGAGGTGGTCGTGGAGGACCAGCGGCAGGAGGCGGAGAGGAAGGAGGCGGTGGTGCAGGCGGCGACAGCGTTGGAGGAGCGGTGTTGGCGAGGGGGACTGAGCCGGGAGACACAGGCGTGGGGCCGCCCCGCGGTGCGCGCCCACAGCCGGCTGGCGGGACTTCCGTGGAAACGTGGCTGGAGGGCTGTGGACCGCGTCCTCACCACGATGGTCCGGCTTCTGTTGGTTTTCTTCCCAGCGATATTTTTGGAGATGTCCCTTCTCCCCAGAAGCCCCGGCAGGAAAGTGTTGCTGGCCGGAGCCTCATCTCAGCGCTCGGTGGCCAGAATGGACGGAGATGTCATCATTGGGGCGCTCTTCTCAGTGCACCACCAGCCGCCCGCGGAGAAGGTGCCCGAGAGGAAGTGCGGGGAGATCAGGGAGCAGTACGGCATCCAGAGGGTGGAGGCTATGTTCCACACGCTGGATAAGATCAACGCGGATCCGGTCCTCCTGCCCAACATCACCCTGGGCAGTGAGATCCGGGACTCCTGCTGGCACTCATCCGTGGCTCTGGAGCAGAGCATCGAGTTCATCAGGGACTCCTTGATTTCCATTCGAGATGAGAAGGATGGACTCAACCGGTGCCTGCCTGACGGGCAGTCCCTCCCCCCAGGCAGGACTAAGAAGCCCATTGCCGGTGTGATCGGCCCGGGCTCCAGCTCTGTTGCCATTCAAGTGCAGAACCTGCTCCAGCTCTTTGACATCCCCCAGATTGCATATTCCGCCACAAGTATCGACCTGAGTGACAAAACTTTGTACAAATACTTCCTGAGGGTTGTCCCTTCTGACACTTTGCAGGCAAGGGCGATGCTTGATATAGTCAAGCGTTACAATTGGACCTATGTCTCTGCAGTCCACACGGAAGGTAGGCATTGCATCTGGGGTAAAAAGGTGCCGAGAAATTCAGGACATTGCATGATGTGTACTCGGGATCATAGCGTCTTCCCTGTTTATTTCTAGGTCTGTGGGGAACAGACTTTGCCCTTCTCAGCACACGTCCACGCAGGTGTTGCCTTTTATTCCCATTCTGGTATATTTATAGTTTAAGAAAAGTGTCCCATCGTGTTTCTGGGGAGAGCAGGAGCCTAAAAGATGCCAAACTCTCCATGAACAGTGTCCTACTGTAGATTTTGTATTTACATGCTTGTTAGCCCTCATTTTCTGAGTTTGTGTTTGGAAGGCTTATTTGCCCAATGTGGCATCCTATTCTTAAATGATTGGCTCTAATTTTCTTAGTTTAACAGAATAATCCAATGTGAGTGATTAGATACCACCCATCCCGCCCCCCACCCCCCAAAAAAAATCTCTGTCCCCTGAACTGGGACTGAAAGCTTTATCTTATTTTGAACAGCTGAAGCTGCTTCTTTGTCCTAATGTGCCCCCTTTTACACACACAAGACTTACCTATGAATGGTGGATTAATGCAGTCATCTCCCCAGTATATCAGATACTTATATTTTAAATCTGGGGTGCCTAGATTCAAAGGAAAAGTAAATAATTTAAAACATTTATTTATTTTCTTCCTAATACATATGTTAAGATTGTCCATATGTCCTCAGTACTCCCCCCCACCCCCCAGAATGAGCTTGTTTTATGACAAACAGCACTGATGACCTCTTGAATTTGAGTTTTGGTTTCTAGTCTTCTTCTTTTAACACAATGGCTTTGGTCATTAGAATTTAAAGTTAGGCCACTTATAAATTACAAATGAGAGGATAGTAGATATCCAGTTTAAAATGGCTTGGATATGTAGAGTCTTACAGACATGAATTCTCAAAGAACTTCTTTATGTAAAGAGTTTCTTTATTCTCCTCATATATAAATTTTTGGATAAAGGGAGAGTTTTGAGTCACCTGTTCTTAACTCCCTTGTTACATTTATGAAAAAAACGAGACCCTCGTTTTACATTCATGTCTAGGACAATTCACATGTATGCACTGGCATACGAAGAGGGTCTTCAGGGGATTGCTGCATTCATATTTCTTAATATAAAATTATCAAAAGAAAGTCAATCGGCATGATTTCACAGTCTTGTAACAGTCACATGACATTCAGTTATGAGCATGAAGTCTGATGATAGAAATTGATAATCATTCCCACTGATGTGGTTATATGGTTATTGTTAATGGAAACTGATGCTTTAGAAAACGAACAGAGTTTTCACAACAAACGTTCAAAAATAATGTAGAATTATGCATTATAAATTCAGACTTTGCTTTTGGAAAAAAAATTTCTGCTGCAATATGGTGACTTTCAACAACTGACTCATGTTTTTCAATCTTGACTTTTACTAGTGAACGGCATACCTTTTCATCAGCAAAAATTTCATTACTTTTCTGAGATGGCAGTTTAAGTTCATATGTTAATCCCCTATATTTTAATGTTTAATATAGTTTCCTCTAGTGCTTAGATAAAACATCTTGAAAACACAAGTTAGAAATTGTTAATTATCAGTATTAAAGCGATCTCTAAGGGAATGAGAAATCTAGATTGAATGTGGTTTAATTAAATATTTAATAATTCTCCCTTCATTCAACTAAAGTAATTGATTATAGATTTTAGAAGTGTAATTTACTCCTTCAAGAGGAAGTAATACTTCCTTACTTTTATATAGTAGTTTTATTTCCCATACTTTATTATCATCTCATTTTGGGGAATGGAGAAGAGTTGAGAAAAGATCCCTTTCCTTCTTCAGTCTGTTTTCCAGTTTCATAACTTTGCTAAAAATAATTGTTAATAGTGGGTTGCCTTCTGAAAACTAGAATTATATTTTTGAAAAATTAATTGGACTTGTGTTTGCCAATTCTGTTGAGGAAGGGCTTATATTAAAATTTCACCCTTGCATTAGTTTGGACTTCATTTACTTTCTGTCTTCTGACTGGTGTTGTGTGGAGAGATAATGTCTCTATACTATTATAGTAGTTGATTCCAGACTAGATTGTGTTCATAGATCATAGATCTCATTTTGGTGACTGTTATATTACCATGAGATCATGCCATTTGCCTCGCCTTTTATATATGATGTCTTATTTTCCTTAAAGAGAATTTGTTTCTTTTCTTATTAGACCTAATATCTGTGGAAACTAAATTGCTTTTATTTTTTCTGTCTGCAAAGAAATATCACAGCCTGCTTTGTGTAACCTCCAAATGAAAATTTGTTTTTCCTAAGGTTCTGCCCTCTTGTTTCTCAGGGACCCCATGGTATACTTGCCTGCAGGCATTTTCTTGCATCATTTAGTAATTTTCCTGCTTTCAGGCCGATGGGGTCACCTACTGGTGACATTCCCTGTCAAAAAACAGCAAAGACCACATATCAGTGTTATCTCTGCCATCTGGGCACATTCAGGGAAGAAGTCAGTTTGTCTGGATATTAGCCACTTGGATCTTAGAAATTCTGGAACCTCCAGTGACCTTCACCTCTCCTTCCCAAATGAGCCATTCTCTAGTCAATTTACCATCACCATTTCTTTTACTAGAAGTTAGTTTAGTACAGTTTACATCAACATAACTAAGTGACTAGACTAGTCTACTTTATTTTTAGAATTACTTTTGATGTAGAGTCACTTTAAAGTGATAAATGGAGCAACCCTGTCCCTTGAATGCCCAGTTGTTTTTCTATCCCTGTATTATTTCATTCATGTCAAAGTTGAGCTTGGAGGTATTTTCTGGTTTTCCTTTTTAACCTGCTAGAATTCAGTTGTTATATATATTTTTTGCATACTTTCAAATCTTCTGGCATGTCATTTGTTTTACACTTGTCTTCTGGTCATGACAACTGTCAAGGTTATCTGACATAAAATTTACCTGCAGTAGGCTGCCTAGAATTTTTTTCAGATTGGTTCTTGTGGACAATATTGAAATAAGATCTGCCAAAGGGTGCAGATACTAAATCAATATAGCTTTACCCACAAATAAAAATTGAATGTGCTTTGGAGCAAGCTGCTCACCTGGAATGTGTGTCTTTAAATATGCTAAACACACAGTACAAACATGTCCTTCTTCTGTGAAGGACATCCTAGCCAAGGACACTGTATTCTACCCTTCTGGTAAAATGCACATTCCCTACCAAACATCAAATTTATCATTCTGAAGGACTGTAAAAAACAGTACTTGAAAATAATTCTAGTTTATTAAATTCAGAGCTTTGGACAAGTCCCACAAAAAATATCCTTTGAATTTGTAGCATCAAAAAGTTTTTTGAGGAATTGGGTACATTTTCAATCATTTTAAGGTTTTCTCTCTTAATATTTTGCCTTGTAGTATCTGATGAGTATTGATATGATAAAGGTTTTAATGATGTTATTTCTCCTTTGAAAATGTCCACTATAAAGTGCCCTTTTGTTTACAATTGTTTGCATTGTGGTGCACCTTTTTTTGACATTTGCTTACATTTTATATGCAATTGGCTTGTTTGGGTTTCTTTTCAAAATCCAATCATTTTCTTCTGAGAAGTATTTTTTTACTATTTGACATAAAAACTTACTTAAAAAGTCTAATGGCATCAGAGGAAAATCCTTTTAAGTCAAAAATACTCTTGGTTAACTATGACTTTAGCTAATGCAACCACATATAAGAATTTTATTTCTAATAAATATTTTTCCTATTTATGCACCAGTAACTTTCTTAGCTTGATTGAAACCTGTTTTACAGTAAGTTATCTTAATAAATTATTGCATTTTATCACAAAATAAGGGATTGGAGTACTTTGAAAAGTTGTTTATGCCAATCAGTTAAAAATACTTAAAACACTATTATTCCATCTTTGCTAAGAAGTAGTTCCCATTTGCTCTGAGTTTCTAAATTGTGACTTGGGTTTCTAGTGAGAGGGGAAGGATATAGGACTTACATTCAGAAGCAGATTTTCACCTGACCATTAGTAAGTTTTGCTACATAATGAACTATCTCCCTGAAATTTTGACCAATTCTCCATCAGCTACTGGGAGTCATTCCTCTTCCATATGATACTTGCACCAATGAATCTTCTCTCTCTCATGCCATACCTCATCAATTCCCTCACCCCAATACTTAGGTTTTTAGTTTCTTCATCATCATAGACAACTGAAGTAGATCTTAGACCAATGATTATCCATAAGTTCTTTTTTAAATATGGGCTGCTACTAGGCCATATCTCCTTATTTTTATGCTTGAACAATTATTATCACCATCATCATCATCTAAGAGCAAGACTTTGTTTTTTATTTCCTTTTAAATATTAAATTATTAGCTTAAAACTGCCTTATCATTAAGTTCTGAGATTTTACTTCACCTCAGCTTTCCAGCCTTGTGTTCTCAGGATTTAATTATATACATTAAAGCTGAGCAAGAGAGGGTCAAGTGTAAAGTCCCATAGCCCATCAGCAGCAGACTACTCCCTGGCTAACTCTGATGGTCGTTTAGTCTGCTAGGAATTCCCTTGGCAGTATGATTTTCCATTACTTTTTGTACCTCTTTCCAAATAAATGAATAAATAAATAATAAATGAAATTTAAATTAAAAGCCCTCACAACAGATATTCAATTCTAATGAAAATTCACTATGCCAAACATGGCATACAAGAAATTTGAAAACTTGTTTTTAGTTACTAAGTACTTTACATTCTAAAGGGAGTGTAGTTAATGGACACATGTAAAACAAATAAAAACAAGTAAAAATGAATTATTGCAATGTAAGCATTTAAAAACATGACTTTATCTGATTTAGGGAATACTGAAAGGAATATTGGTGAGTATAATGAGCTAGAAAGATGCTAGAGAAAGAGGAATTTTGATTAAATTTTTTAACTATGGAATTTTTAAAAGTTAGAAACTATAGTAAGAATATCCCCATTGGGGATAAAATAAGCAGGTCTGCTTGGCTGGAGTGGTG